ACTCAAGTTTAACACTGCGGACACTTACACACATTGACACATTAAACACTCAGCAACACACATTTCCGATTTCGCATCTCGTAATTCACATCTGATTAGTATTGCATCATCCAACTTTATGTTTTCGTAATATATACATAATACGACTTCGGCGTTGGTCGTAGGGATCGAATGACATTCTATTCACAAGACGAAGACGTACTCTCCTGAGGGTCGAGATGACATCCGTTGACATAAGGACTATCACCCGCTTCATATCGGCACAATGGAAGATCATATGGAATCGGAAATACTGGGACGGTTGAATCATCCTCTTCGTCCTCAATGGGAAACGTAGTTGTTCCAGTCTGAATACAAAACAGAGTTTGAGATGCAATAATATTAATCGATTAAAACATGCACTCTTAATGTTTCGATAACGTGTAATTCATCAATATGTTAGAAATCATATTAAAATAATAATACGGCGCTTACGATAAGTTTTGGTATGAATACAACTCCAGCTTCGTAGTTATTTATGTCAAGGTTGCTTCGTTGGACTCCCCATGCAGATTTGCTTAGATTTGCGCTGGTGAGTACAAACCAGGGAATCCTCTTCAAATCGGGCGAAATTCTCGTGTAGGATTTAATATGAGGCATTGCACAATCTCGTCCAGTTCGCTTAGCTTTCCATTGGCTAAAAATAAATATCAAATTCTGAATGTAGAAAAAAATAGATTGCTTCTAAGGCACAAAAACATAGGTATAAAGATTTGAAATGAAATAAAATAAATGAAATAAAAATGAAATAAAAATAATCGATTGTAGCTTACTATAAGTACGATACTATCCATTGTTGCTTAGAATGCACTTCTGCACTATAACACAAGGGAGAAATTAAATATTGATAATCAAAGCTTTGCTTGTAATTCTGTATCGACGGGTAAATAAACTGGAAATTTGGATGACTCTTTAAACCCTTAGTAGTCTCCTGCGACATACACCGAATTATGTCTTTCAACAACCAGCTGTTAAATTTTGGACCAAAGTTGCCTACGCTGGAACTTTGCGCGATTATAGGCCACTCAGGGGCATCTGGTGGCAATGTGGCATGACGTGATAGGACGTGCGCCAATTTTCTAAATCCCCAGAGATTGGCCTCTTTATATTTGTGCGATCCAGGTACAGAAGCGACAAGGAACACGTTCACGTCAGAAAAATCTGCCCTTTGTACCGCCCTTATCCACTGCGTCAAAGCCGGATATCCATATTTATTGAGATATCGCACGAGATCCTTTTTGAAGCCTGTTGGAGATTCCCCGTCATTAGGCCTCGCGGATTCTGGTAGCAGAGGCAGGTGAGGCGAGATCCACAATCTGATCAAGATATAAAAAGATATTTATGGACACAGATATACTACTAAGGAATATCTATAAAGAATTTTTAGCATACCCTTCTGTCCTGTTTTCCCAGTCGTCGAGATATAAGTTAGCAGTAGAGACAACCACCCTGATCCCATTATCTTTGTATTGTAGAATCATAATCTTCGTATGATGACAACCAAAATCAGTCGGCATATCTACTTCTATCATAGTAATGTTGCTAGGTACTCTCTCTAATGTTGCTAGATGATCTACCCTATCGCCGTACAGAATCATCATATCAGTACATTGACCAGCCAACAGATACTGCAAGCACAGCCACCCGACGTCTACCATAAAATTTAAATGAAGACTGTTAACAATTTCTCCAAGACTCCGGTCGAGAATCTCAGGGAAAGTTATAGAAAGCTGTTGATTGTAAGTCTCCTTGGAATTTTCTACTCTCGTGTAGAATAAGTGGTAGGGTGCTGAAAGGGCATATTTTTTTGCAAATTCTCCTGGTTCCGCGATGGATATTCCAAATTGTGTCGTTATCTGAATGGCCATCTTCCTAACTTCTTCTCTTGACTCTTCAGAATTACAAGTTTGGTGCATATCCACGATAGACATTAATGGTATTACATCTTGCTCATTGTTTCTAGAACTGCTGTCGCTGATATTCTGCTGACTATCCTGAGTCTGATCGCTACTTTCTATGCTCATCTGTTCCATCTCATTTGTAACAGAAGAGCCAGTTTCCGATGTTTCCTGACTTTCCTTTTTTGCCTATAAAGAAACTTACATTTATTTCGTTTGCCCTTCATAATTTGAAATTTACAAACTCATTTTCTGTACTAACCTTGATGCTTTCCGAACTGTCACAATCCTCATCAGCCAAAACTCTAGAGAATGCCTGAGCTTCCATATCCATTTGCATGAATTTATCTTGTTTCTTCTGAGCAATTGCCTTCTTATATCTCTACTTTTTCCTTTCAATTTTCTTTAATACTTGATAAACAGCAGACGAAGATTGTATTTTAGGATGAACTAGTTGCAGACAACCAGCTGTATTTATTTCCGTCCCTCTCGTTTCTAAGCACATTTGCAATACTTTCAATTGATCCAATTAACAATTGTGAACGATTGTTACACGTAAAATTGAGCTCTTCTGGTATTTCTATTGTACACCATCATCCAACTGATCCACTAATAGTGCCTCCACTGAAATTAAAGTGACAGTTATTATCAGCTCTATTTTTTTTTTTTGGTTTCTGCTCCTTTGGGAAGGAATATTTATCAGCTCTATAAACATAGTAAAGGTTAAAATAATATCGTTGATAACGATATCATATTATCCTTGTTATCGATCGTTATTATAGATCTCGTTATATCGCTGTATTAACCTTCGATAGTTACAATAATTGCGTATAATTGACCTATAGAATTCATCGTAGTAAATGACTGCGAAGTAATTTACACAGGAAACGTTTGATTTCGATGACACATACGAACGTTAAGGGGATGCTAAAGCCGTCCAAATTACCGACAATTACATTTCAAAGGTCTCATTTTGAAACGGCTTTACAGATCGCAAAATCCTTCTACAGGAGTAAAGTAGAGGTACTAATGAAGGGTGGGACTGTCAAATAATTAGTAATAATTGAAAAAAATTTTTAAATGCTGTCACCTCATAACCTTATTTTTTAATATAAACAGTTGTATAAGTAACATGTACGAAATTAAACTTTCCCACCCTTGAGAAGACGTGCACAAACAATGAGATTAAGTATTGCACTTGGCAACTCCGAGTTGCTGACGCGAAGACCTGCATAAGTTTCGGGAATGACCAAATATGGTCATCCCGGACATCACCTGCCCGTTAAG